TGATATCGTCCCATATGCGGTGGCGAGAGATAAATCAGACAAGCAGTCAAGGGGACTCTTTCAAGTTGACGTTGAGGGGAACCCAGGCCCGAAAAACAAGGAATTATTTGGATAAGGATTGAATGTCGGTGACAATGACCCGAGACCACGCGCCAGTGATGCGACAGCGGCAAAGATGAGCGATGATGGTATGTTGTGAAGATGGGCAGGTTTCAACTGTTCATGTATTTGCACAAGCAAGTCATGCGCCCGCCCTGTAAAGTTTGGATTTGTCCGTCTCTGCTGAACAGACCGAGACGAAGTCGCAGCACAATTTGTAAATGCATCGAGATAAGGGGTGAGCAATTATATGGATATACTCCCGAGTTTACGGTTCCGCTTCTGTGAAACAGTCACATTGGATGCAGGGCGCACAGGTGATGATTACAGAGTGCAGACGATCTCGAACTGCGTTGAAGTTGCGCTGGCCAGGGCGAACACCGATAGAGGTTAATCAGACATGATGCACGGGGTTCGGGGTTGCTTCGGGGTCGCACCGCCAGTCTGAAGATCCAAGGAACGACCCCGTACCCGTGCGCCGAGCGACGGCCGCAAGCCGGACAGTGTACATGCTGTTTACGATTTTTTTTGTTGTTTTCGGGTTTTATGACCGTCCGTGTCCGTAAAACGAGTGGGGAAACCGGAAAGTGTGCGAATCGGTTGTCGCATTGAAGGAGACCAAAGGATACGACACCAGTCGAGGCAAAAGGACCCAGAAATCCAGTTGGAGACGCGAGCGATGTTGAGGTTCGAAAGTCAAGAATAACGACGTGACAGCTTGTGACCTACCGTCACATCTCTTCCTTATGACGACATCATCGACCGTTCAAGCTGCGCGCTGCGCGTCTGCTCTCTGCTTCACACCTTGTCTTTGTACCACCCTTTCAAGTCCAAATTGAATACTACCATGTCCTCCCTTGAGTCTATACCGCTGGAGGTCATTCTGGACAATCTCTTGGCCATCATGCCCATCCAGAGTCTTGTCCGGTTGGGATCGACCAACAAGGCACAGTGCACCAAAAACAACTCAGATATCGCCATGGCTGACCTTTCCCCGCATTACTCCAGCTCTTTGCTGCCATCTGCGCAGACGAGTTGCTATGGCTCCGGCGTCTGCAATCCGACATGAATTTTTCACCTGATACAGCTCGTGTGAGCGGATCGTATTACAAGTTTATATATAGAGGGCTGTATCGCCCCAAAGGTCAGATTATTACGGACACCGTTGTCGCCTTCTCGCTGATAAGTGATTCCCACCAGTGTTTGTCTGGGGGTACGAAGTCCTGGTCAACTGACTACCCTCATTTTGGAATTCACCTCGTTTCCAGCGAGAAAGCGAATGGTCGTCTCGGCTTCGGAAACAAATTTCCCAAGTCCAATCTTATCAACAGCGGGGTACCGTTTCCCACCCAACTAAGAATCCCAGGGACTCGGATTGTCAACATCGTGTCCGGGGGAACGTTTGTACTTTTATGGTTTCTAATGTTCTTACTTATGCCGTAATTAAGGTCCTTTCATGCGCTCGATTCAGAGGGCAATATCCACGTCTGGGGTAAGTCTGCCAAGGTATCTTTTTGTAGCTCTAAAACCGTCCCAAGGTACTTTAAACGGACAAATTGGGGCGCTCGGTAGCGATGGTTTTTCGGTACCTCACAAACCTGCCCCCACGCCATTCCGTCTGGAACTGCCCACCAAGATCAAACAAATTAGGCAAGTAGTTCTGTCTTGCTAAGATTGAGACACTGACATCGCCGCGCTCAGCTGCGGGAGATTTCACTCTGCCGCCTTGGGTCCCTGGGGCCAGGTTTGGAATTTCACAAGCTGGGGCCGTCCTTTCACTCTCTCCTCTCACCATCTCCGCGCGGACTCGAAGCCCATACAGATCGAATGTGGCTGGGCGTTTTCCTCTGTCCTCACGAAATCAGGCGAAATATTCGTCTGGTGGACGCAGTCTGGAACGATGTTGGAAATAATTAATTCTAAGAACACGGCTATGGACAACGAAGACCTTTTCGCCAAACCTCTTCCTGACGGTGTAATTCCTTGTGCGACTTGGAATCTGGAAGCGGATCCGACTAGATTGCCGGGACTACCTCCTTTGCCGAAATTGACCGAGATCGGTGACTTGAATGAGGACGAGGAAGAACCCAAGATCATCAGGATAGCTGCCTTGGACGCCCATCTTGTCGCTTTAACGAACCAGGGCCATGTTGTGAAGTTTTCGGGCCTCGGTAATGAAAACACCGTCGCCGGTGGCAGGTGGCAATACGCAAGTGTCTCCAGCATGTTGTTTAATCATACCCAAACTGATACGGCAATTATGATCTTCCAGCTTCCCAAGTTCAGCGAACTCGATCGAGTGCGCGCCATGTCGCCCTTCATGCCAGCTGAAGGCTCCCCCGGAATCGAGCCTCCCCAGACGATGAAGATCACTCATGTGAGTGTATCCCATTGAATTCAGGCTGCAACACGAATATCACGGGTACAGATTTCAGCGCATTTTGAAAAGTTTTTTGCATACTCGACCGGCACGAGCTCCGTGGTGCTTATGGGCGATACGAACACGACGGACGATACAGATCCCCATATCGAGCCCGCTCTTCAAAATAAATCTGTCATTTCAGTTCTTGTTGGCGACTGGCACAATGCCGCCCTGACATCATCTGGCAAGTTGTTGACATGGGGAGGCTACTCGGCCGGAGCATTGGGCTTGGGTGACCCCACAACGTTGACTCCAGGGACGCCAGGGGCGTTTGCCACCGAACGCCAGCGCTTAGATGCCCTCGAACGTGGCATAGGTACTCCGCGTGGCGCAGACGTCCCGACAGAGGTTCGCTTTGACCATGCGCGGAAGAAACCAAAGGAGCGATTCTGTTTTCTCGCCTGTGCCGCAGGATGGCAGACCGGTAATTAGCCTTTTTAACGTTTGTTTCCACTCCTTGATTTGACCGGGATACAGGCGCTTTGGTTATCGATCTCCAGGTATTTTCCAAGGTTCGGTCAACGAATATAGAAATCTGACCGCTATAGGATGACGAAGACGAAGAATCTGAAGAGGAAGAGATGCAAGAGGAAGCTCCACGACGTCCGGCTCGACTGGGCCGAGGTGGACATGGTCTGCCCATTCATCTGCCTGGGCTCCCCGTAGGCGGTCCATTCCGCATAGGTTTCGCTGGTAGAGGCGCCACCAGGGGACGGGGAATGTAAGTCAGCTTTCGTTGATTGTCGTTTTGTGTGTATTGTATAACTGTACGGAAATCATAAACGTAAGTGGATTGACATCGGCAGACGGACGTTCCTCATATTCCTCCGTTTAGGAATATGTACACTGTTTCATGCAATAAGATCTTGATTTTCTGCCGCGACGATGAGTGCGGAGGTTCTCTGCATACATGTGGTGCACACCTCGTGTGTCTAAGGTTTTGCTTTGGTCGGGCGCGGTGGCAACGGTACTCGGGTGTCGTTCGCTGACTCTCCTCGAACTCGGGGGCTTGTTATGGCCGTCTCGAATGGGTCAATTCAGGCTGAAGATTCAGCCGCTGTGTTCACGCTGTCCAGTGAAGGTTTCGCATGTTCCAGCGGCGTTTCCAAGATCGTGTTGTATGTATCAAGCTGCATGATGAAGATTCACCCCTCGTGCTGACGCTATCGATAGGGAATCTACGAGCTTCTGTTCGAGAGTTGCTCATGGAAATATGAATGCTGTATGTTTCAAGCTTCGACTCGATTCAGACATTATCACCCGTCGTGCCTTGTGGCTGTCGAGAGGGTTATAAGACATTCAATCCGCTTTCAGGAACCACGCGCTCTCCGAGATGGTGGCGAGAGTTTGTTTTCAATGCATTCTGTGTTACTGAAATTCAGATACTCGATCGAAGGCTCAAGATTCATCGTTGTCCAGGAGATCCATTGTACTCAAGGAACCACATGTCAGAGTTCAGCTTATGTATTCCATCTCGATTCAGGTGCTATGCATTACGGGTGTCGCTGCATTCCCGGCAACAAATCGCGCACGGCTTGAAGTTCGCACTTGCGGGATCTCGGCGAGTGGCCGAATTGGAGGTTGACGCTGCGGTTCTCCTTTGGGAGTATGCATGTAATCTACCAGCTGCGCATCCACCGTTGTGCGTCCAGCATTCTTGTGAAGAGCAGGTGCGGCGAAGTTCATGCTGAAGGCTGGCATTTCAGAGATCTCTCATAGTTTTGCTTCATGCAATGGCACTGCTCTGGCCCTCAATGGACTGCGACGAACGGAAGACGTAACCTCTTGAGATTCATATAGCACGCGTACCGCAGCGATGTAGCATTCATTTTCAATCGAGAGCAGGGTACCAAACAGAGTGAAAGCGAGATGTGCACAGACGTCAACACCAACTTTGAGTCTGACTTTCAGAAACAGTTGAGTTGCGCGAGAGCTGTAAGACACGTATCCGCACGAGAATTGGTCAGCAATGGATGCTGAGAGGACCTAGATATGAACACATGTGGGTGGATATGCAGGAGGAAAGGAAACTGAAGGGATTTCGCCGTCAGAGTCCGTAAGGTGCCTCCCAGAAAATCGCGAATTGCGAAGGCTACAGGGCACCAAATCACATGAATCTTGGGTCGCAAGGTACGTCGCAATGCACCGAACGATGTCGACTATGGTGCTTGCGCCAGGGAGGGACCGTAATTGGGGGGATTCTTGTTTTGGATGGCATCACCTAGAAAAAGGTGCCATCAGAAATTCGAAGATTGTGAGGGCTATAGTGCACCAAACCACCTGAAAATCAGGTCAAAATGTGCGGAACGTTGGCGCGCATACGAGGGGACATATCAGCAAGCAAGGCGAAGCAGAGAAAGCTTGAGATTTGAGGTGGAATCAGAAAAAAGTGATTTTTCGAAAATTGACGTTTTTGAACCTTCCGATGCTTCAAACGCTTTAAAAGTAGGCTAGAACTGTTCGGAAAAGGGTCAAAAAGGGGCCTAACCGGGAATTGAACCCGGGACCTCCTCGATCACGTGATTTCCACCCTAACAAGGAATCATACTACTAGACCATCAGGCCGATGGAAGTCGGTGAAGCCAAACATATATCATGTCGCTGAATCAAAAGCCATATCAGCCATATATCGCCGTTGTCGTCTCACATACCCTCGTTTCTGAAACGGAGCTCTCTTGCATGGGAGACGCGATATCTGAAAATAGTTGGCCAGATTACTCAATACAAGAGATCTCAAACACCGGATCCGTCGTGTATGTCTGCACGATCGAGGCGTTGAGCTCACGCGTCCACGCGTGCACCTCGTCTTCGCCGCTGCAGCTTGGGGCTGTTCCTGCTCGTGAGGATGTGGCTCGCTGTCAGTTGAGGGTGTTCGTTTGATGAGGTGTTGTGCAATGCTGTTGTTGGTGGCAGGGAGGAATGGGCTGAATGATGTCCGAGAAGCTCAGAGGCGCGATTGCGAGAAGCTTTGGTTGCTCAGGACTAAAACTGTTGCGATCTCTTGAATTACAGAGCCATTGACTTCGCGCGTCCTTTCCTTTGGACCAGACCCGGATTTCACTGTAGAAGCAATGATCGAGAGTGTGTGACCGAATCAAGACCAAGCAAGTGAGCATAGTGGGAACAACGACCTAGATGCCAGCAAGTCACCTTACACGTCAGGCTTTGGTAGTTTCTGAAAGAGTGACCAGGTTGGTGCGGAGTGGGGAGCAGTAGCAAGTGCGCGTGATACCTAGATGAATGGCGCAAGAAACCGATGAAGCGAGTTGAGCAAGTCAAACTACAGAGATATAGTATCCCTTGACGATCTAGGGAGAGGCAACGCAAACGTCTCGTTTTACCTGGAGCGAATGACTTGCCTCAAGCAGACGATGTTAGCAAATAGAACATATTTCAAATCAGTGCTGAGCCCTAAAAACCCCGTTGCAGAATAAATGTATGGCTCCCCCCGGATTCGCGAACAAGGAAACCAGAGGCATTCTCAGATTCGGAGCGAGAATAAAGAGATACTGAGTTACCGTGTACAGAACACCACAAACTCTGTACATTGAAATCACCGGCATGGGTTGTATATGGCGGACGCCTAGCTTGAAAAATGCTCGAGGACATCTACTTCCTATCCGGTCATGAATATGATGAGCCCGACGCGCATGATCGCGCTCACCTTGATTTTGCTAGATTTAGAAAGTAATTCGTCCAAAGTCTTATTCGATCCCTCGGGAGTTTCACCGACACTCATGGCCTGGAACATCTTCAACATCTCCGGCGTCATCGTCGATGTACTTAGCATCATAGGTCGACCATTCGGACCAGCAACGGGAATAGTCAAGACCTCCTCGGATTGCCCTTGCCCAACGGCAGGGAGGTCGTGCTCCTGTGAAGCGGGATCAACTACATAGAATACGGAAAAGCAAAAGCAGATCGTGACCTTCGTCAGAATGGAGCACGATGCTCCAGGTTTACAAAACGGTTTGTGGTTCTTCCAGTCCTGAACGCTGCAATTAATGCACGAGGCAGATAGCCAGCAAAGAGCTGTACGTACCGCTTTCTCTGATCGTCGGAGGCGCGAGACTGTCAAGTCACTTTTGCGAAGATATAAATTCAAAACTCACGGCATCTTGAACAAGGAATCAGTAAACACCGAGTATTTCGTTGACCTATACGCACTCTTTGCTGCAGTACGCAGGCTTGACATCCAAGTCGCAAGACCCGGCACCTTCGAAACACCAACTTAGCTTCGCCCTCACGTAGGAAGGAGCCTATTACTCACAGCTTCGCAGCCCTCCCCCTTTGCTGGCCTGAATATAGCAGGCAGGGGCAGCACAAACGTATCGATTGGAATTTTTCTCTCTCTTTTTTTCCGCCTTTTCTTGCTTCTCGGATACCTCTTGGTGACGCTTCTCCAACGCCAGCCAGAGCGGTTTATACAGAGCCCTCAATGCCGTGGCCTTTTCTGCCTGAGGCTCCACGATTCGATAACCAAACCACAGGACCTGAGGAGATGCGTCTCCAGCCAAAATAACGGATTGATTCGCATGAAAGGCTGCGCCAAACATATATCGAGCGAATAAAGAGACGGTGCTACTGCTGGTGAACCAATCAACGAGAAGTCCATGCGCGCGGCTCTTGAGGTCCTTGGAGGCACTTGAGCTTTGTATGACCTTCATGAGATAGTAGTAGTGTAGGGAGCGGTTCGGAACAACGCCCAGATTGCATCGGATGCTGTTTGCGAGGGTATTGAGTTGCAAAGACCAGAAGTGAGGGAGGAGAAAAGTACCAACCGCACGGCATAATCAAGAGCAGCCGAATCGTTGCCCGCATCTGCTTCCTTCTGCACCTGTTCGATAGTCTTGGATGCCAAAAGTTCCATTGCAGCCTGGGCTTGCTCCATGATTTGGGTGGACACCTGCGAGTTGGGGACATGCCTGGCGTCGATGCCAACCTGGTGGTATACTTGGGCGTATTTCACCCCCTGTTCCAGTTCATCAGAGACTCTGTCCTCGCCCCATGGCGCCGGTTTGAAGATCGAGAAACTGATGCCTTCGGGAGGGCTCATTGTCGGTATGACGCGTGTAGGGATATCCAGGCTTTGAATCATGGACAACCAAAATCCCATGAAAGCTCGGTCTGCAACTTTGAGATGCGCGTTTGAAACCTGTATGTTACACAGCTCTTCTCTAACGCCGATGCGCTTGAATTCCTTCCCAACTGCTGCGGCTAATTCGCGGTCATCTGTAGAAAGCGACCATGGTGCGTATGGTGGAGGAGGGTTGCGCTCGAGTTTATGGTTAACCAGACTATCGAGAAAAGCCTGCATGAGAGCTCTGGCAATTTCGGGAGCCGCCTCGGCGCCACTTTCAGGGAAGAACGCGATGCCATTGGATGCTCCGAGCGGCAATCGCTCGATATGAATGTAAGTGCTTTCGGGTTGAACCAGGAATAAGACATGAGAGGGCGGATCCAAGTAGATGAATCGCAGATCGAAATGCCAATTGTTGCTAACTAGCCCTGAAGGCGACTTGGGTTTGCGGGGAAGCGCGTTGAACTTTGAAACCTGCATCCCAAGAGCGGCAAACCCAGAGAATTCAGACTAAGTAATAGTAAGAGCGAAGTTGGAGAGAAGCCGTTTTGGTAAACGCGGTCACGTGTTTCAAAACCCCACCAATCACACAGCTTTTTTCGCTCGTTCTTTGCGTGTTTACATCGCCAAGCGGCCATACTACAGGATTCAGCGATTCCTACCGGTACACATTATACATATTATACATATCCCTAAATCCAATACCATACAGAAAATCAAAAGGAAAGACTTTGATACACATTCGCATTCGGACCTTGCCCCTTGGCACGCCGCCTGGACGACCGGTGTATTTGGAAGGTTTGTTTCGTACCTGGCGGTGTCCGTGGTATAGTTAGGAACGTCATTGCAGGGGACTAGATATCCAATCAACATGCATCGCGATCCGAGTGTAGGAAAGAAACTCACGACTTTGCGTAATTCTTCATCGGCGTCTTGCATCCTCTCCACGACTTGCACCATGCTGGGTCGCTGAGCCACATCGTGCGACCAGCACTGTTGCACTATCTCCCACAGCGCGTTTGACATCAACTCCTGGCCGTCTGCGTCGCAGGGCCGCGACGGTCTCTCTTTCGCCATGACCCGCAGCATAACTGCTGCGTCATGGGATATGTCGCTGAATGGAGGCTTGCCTGTATACAGCTGAAAAAACAGTCAGGAATTGCTACTCTTTCTTTTGCGAGAAGGGACCTACCTCGATGCAAACGAAGGCGAAACTATATACATCACTAGCAAAAGTCCGCTTGAACGTCTCAAGACCACAAGACTGCGGGTAGTGTAATTCAGGACTCATCCACCGTACCGATCCACCATGGTGTGACGTGTGCGTGGCTGCTGTAGCATCGGAGAATACAGCAAGACCGAAGTCCGCAAGGCGTGCATGCCATTCATCGTCTACGAGGATATTGGAACCTCTCAGGTCGCCATGGATTATATCCTGTGAATGGAGATACGCCAAGCCCTGCGCAATCTCAAACAGCTGTGGCATAGAACATATTTATCGCTGCACTGACGGCTCACGGACACAGAGACCCACCCTTCGGTTTACATTGGCATTCCCATTCTCAGCGAGATGCTTCAATATCGTCCCATGTCGCATCCAAGGAGATACCATACCTGATGGAGGCATGAGCAGAATACAAAAAATGAGACCAGATGAGCTACATAGGAATGACGGGAAGCTCTCAGCATCAATGCCCGTAAACGGTAGCACGTATGGATGCTGTAGCCGCTGCCACAGTAAGGCTTCTCTGCAAAAACGCTGTCGAATCGTATGTCGGCCAGAATCCCGCTGGAATACTCTTATTCGCTTGACTGCAACGTCGGCGCCATTGAGGGTAGCGCGATGGATGTCCCCAAACGAGCCTCCGAAAGTTGCTTCCTTATCCAGGTTGGATACACCGCCAGTGATGAAGAGCGAGGTGGGGAGAGTATCCGAAGCCTCGGATAGCTTGACGAGCAGCCGGCGCGCCTTTAGTGTGAACCCTGCTTCCTCCGGTCCATGAAACGAGCCTTTATCTAACACCTGGACTACCGAATCAGAATCATTAAACAGATACATAGGGAAGGCGAACGTCTTGGATGAGATCGACACAACGCTGGGCACTGTCGCTTTTGAGCCGTAGCACAGTCTTCTTCAAGACGTCTGTACTCAATACGAGTTTTAAGAGCCGCGCAAGGTCAGCATCATCCTTCTGAAGTGCAGCACGCAGCCGCCGATCATTCGAGACTCCTAGAGCGGTAGACACTTTCAATAGCTTGATACGGAGCTGGGTGCATTGTACAAGGCTCCAAATTGCATCAAGGGATGCCATGAATCGGATCAGTCTCTCCAGAACAGCTCGTAATCTATCAGCAATATTGGTTAGTGGCTGCCGAAGACGCCATGAAACGCCTCGCCTTTCATCCTGGCTCTCTTCCAGAGTTGTGATGAAGGAGAACAAATGCTATAAAGATGATGTTTGATACACTTACGGGTTGCAGTAAG